AAAGTGTATTTGTTCCAATCCGTGGCATAAAAATATCAAAATCTAATTCTTAATGCTCGATCAAATGTGAATCGAGTTGAGAAATGACGATAAATACACAGATCTTGAGATCTTGAGATTTCCACGCATAAATGCACCCCTCACAACATACATTCACCCATGTAGGCATTGGTTTTCTATGGAACTGGGCCCTTTACAAAAAGTCCTACCACAATTCCTTGCACCAATAGAAAATACACCAAACAGTACTGCTCCAGTTTGTTTGGGAGGCGCTTTTGTCAGCACATAATCTTTTCCCCTCTCTCTTCAAACTAGGGGATCAACATTCCACACGCCTTTCAAAAGAAAACAGCGGGGGAATCTATGAGCTACTGCACACACAGATTTATTCATTTAGCTGGCTTTTACGGGTGAATGTGAAAGTCTTTTCAGATCTTAAAGCGGCACTCTGGGTGCTAAAAAAATGGTTCAACTTCAAAATGGTAAAAACCACATTGTGAAGTTCAAAAAAACTTTGGTTGGGAAAAATGGGCAATGATCCAGAGTCATGGACATAACAAATCACACTTTTTTTTGTAGTTTGATACGCTCTACTCAGTGATTAAACCTGTTTTTTTTCCCCAATCGTATACATCCAGCATCTAGTGATGGTCAAGGAGATTACAGACTAGGAGTTTTGGATCTTTTCTCTGAATCATTAAATAGATATCATGGTTAATTGGCTCTGTCACGGACATTACATTTTCATCTATGATGCTGGAATTGCTCGAGTCACGTTGGATCTTAAAGTGACACTATGTTAAAAAGTATTCAAAGTGGTAGAAACCATTACCATGTTAAATGCATGACTTTAATAGGAATATTTAAAATTCAAATTTGATTAAAAATATAAAAATTTAAATGGCCTGGGTCCAATGACATGAAGGTTTAACTGAGAGAATGGCCTTCAGCAAAGCGATGTGCTTGGCAAAAAAAGCAGGGGACCTGTTACATTAACAGTGTGATTTACATTTCATTTTTGGTTGGTAACCCATTCTGGCTAAGCAATATTTGTATGTTGCAGCATATTTAACTGCGAACTGAACTTATGCCCAAGGTTGCATCTCATTGAAACTGTTGAAGTGCAGAAAATTGCTCCGCGGGAAATATCTCTTCAAATCAAAATTAAATGAGGATCAGCTGAAAGCATGAATTTTGGCATAACACTCTGCAAAAACTCTGCGTGCTTCACTGATTTACATGCTTAACACGCAACAAAATTTGCCCCTCTGCACTTTCAAAATGGATAACGGAAAATCTTGCCTCAAGCCATAACACCTTTAACTACAAAACTTTGGCGATCACGACATACAAAAAAAGACAAGGGGGGAAAAAAAGAAAGAAAGAAGAAGGAAAAGAGAGAGAGAGAAAAAAAGAACAGCAAACGCCTGAGCGTGTTTGCAGGGTGCATACAAGATTAGCAGCAGACCCTTGCTGATGAAGCTCGTCAATTGTGTGCCAGGAGTTGACGAGGGGATTAGGACGGATAGGTGAGAAGTTATTTATCAAACATCCCCAAGACTGGATCCGGGAATAAATTTACATGGACAATTTGCGCTTCTGGGGTTTTTTTTGGGGGGGGGAGATGTGTGATGTGTGCTACACTGGCCAGCTTCAGGGCCTGGTTGGAAAATAAAATAGTCTACTGTGCTGTGCTCATGTTTTAAACAATCGTGGATCTTTTCCTTATGATTGGGGGTGCACTGTTGGCTCAGCTGTATGTTTATGTTACTTTTGCCAGTTCAGAGACAGGTTAAAATTAAGCTAAATCCAAACCGTATCAAATTCATTCCCTCACATATACTTGTTCTGTAGTTGTGGGTTCTACTGATAAACGATAGTTATTGTGGGGACTAAAGATGCTGTGGGGACAGTAGAAAATCCCCACAACTTGGTTCTAAATTTCCACATTGGGGTCAGTGCAAAGGCACCCTGTTCTCTCCCTAACTAGCCTTATCTATGATAAAACCCACCCCATCCCATCCAACCCAGTAAAAACCAACCCACCAGCTCAGCCCAGCCCAGCCCAGCCCAGCCCAGCCCAGCCCAGCCCAGCCCAGCCCATCAGTCCAGTGTTTGTCCAGCCCAGGAATATCCCAGCCCAAGCCAAGCCAAGCCAAGCCAAGCCAAGCCAACCCAACCCAACTAAACCCAAATCAACCCATTACAGCCCAGTTCAAAACCCAAACCAAGCCAAGCCAATCCAAGCCAACCCAACCAAACCCAAATCAACCCAGCACAGCCCAGTTAAGCCTTTCGACATACCAAACCCAAACACATTTTCATCTCTTTCCTCTTGAAAATCGAAATACATTGACTTGAATATTTCTTGGAGTAACATTATTTCAAGTTGCGATGGCCTAGGTCATTCTTTCTTTTTTTTCCTTACCTTTTTCAGTTCTGAAAATGAAAAAGTCACCCAGTGATTGAGTTTTAGTGACACAAGGTGTAATGGGGGTCATCCTCCGGGCAAGAGTAAGGGGGCCTGCTTTGGAATCCAGGCCAGAAATGGGGATTAAAATCAGATTGGGAACCCTGATTGAGCCCCCAGGGGGAGGCACAGGGGTACCTGGGACATTCCAGAGAGGTCTAGCTAGGGTGTCAAATGGGTTTAGGGTTACTGGGGAGAGGCTGAAGTTTTCCCCCCAGAAAGTACAGTTGGGAGTGACCATAACAAATAGTGCAACTTAATCAACATTTTCCAAGTTATGTTAAGTTGGTTTAGTCTTATTTTCTAAGAATCTCCAGCCAATCATAAATATGTGCATCTATAGCAATTTTTGTGTTGGGTTTAATTTTTTAATTTTTATAATGTACTGTAGTTTTTTTCCTGTTAAGATGTCTTCATTTATAACCCTAACTCCGTACTGTCTTTACTAAGTACTGGACCTCCACTCCAGGCCTCCAGGCCCAAGTCCATCATACTCCATCACTATTTAGTCAAACCAGACCTGCAGGACCAAGTCCCCCAAAATCCACAAAGATGGGGGGATGGATTTTGATGGAGTTGGGGAGGTTAGGGTTAACGAGATTTTGTGAAAGATTGTTTGAATTGCAAAATATATACTCTGTTTAAATGTTGTAATTTGTAAACAACATGGACCGTGAGATCAAAAGATGGACCAGAAATTTGATCAGGTCCGAATTGTACCGATTATTTTCCGTTGAAGTAAAAAAAGAAAACCACAGTTTTTAGCTTGAAGAAACAAAACAAGCAGTTTCAGGGTCCAAAGTTTGATGACCGTAACCAATGTCCTAGAGTGTCTGATTGCATATATACGCTCAAAAGTAATAAAAGGTGTATCCTGCTGGGTACAGGTCTAGCTGTTAAATTTTATTTGAGGCAGTTCAGTAAATGTACTGTCAGCTATGGAGCCAAGCAGAGATTTTCAAATTAAATCCGTCAACTTAACTGTATCAAAAGTTGCGAACGCTACACATTGCACGAGTCCATTTTGGGAAGGATTTTGAGAATTTTCTGAGCTTTCGTTATAATAAAGTGATATTAATACCACGCCCTGAAGCCAGATCAGGGTTTAAAGCTCAGATCTACGATCAAATTATTTGAGGCTCGTCGACGGCGAAAATTCACACCGCTGTTAGCTGGCTGGCCATGAAGCCATAAACTAAACTGACACTTCAACACTTTCCGCACCTAACCAGGGGCGAAATGGAGTATTCGAATTGCTGTGCTGCATGCGTAATTTTTTTTTATTAGTAACAAATAGTGGAAAGATGTAGATAAGTAATGGAGGACCAAAGTTTTTTTGTTGGGGGTGGGGGGGGGGGGTGTGTTCCAGCATCGTATCTTGGCTTTCTTTTGTTGGAGACAGGTAATTCCTGGTGTGGTGGGAATTCTAGACTCTATGATATATACAGATTTCTTCGTAGTATTGCACATATACTACAAAGTGAAGATAATTGGGACACTAGTGACAAGTATTAGAGACCACATTTCACAAGACTAGGAGTCCAAATTGCATATGACACCAGTGAGAATAATTCCAATAATGCCAAAACTACACGAGACCCCACCCCTTTCAGATACACAAATAAAAAAATTAAAAAAAAAAATTTAAGTTTCATGTCATATTGAAACTTCTAAGATGATATGTACAAGCACAGCAGTCCCTAAATCAACCCCCCCCCCCCAAGAAAAAAATCCAGGAAATCTCAACGCATAAAAACCAAAACACAGAATATCTTGTGGCCCCCCTCCCTCAATATTAATTTCCCCCTCTCTCCAATGTTACCTTGTTGTGGTTAGCAGGCTCCCGGGCAGTAAACCTAACCCCCTCAGCCCCCCCCCCCCCCTTAGCCCCCCCCCCCCCCTTCAGCTTGGCCCAGCATGAGCAATATTTTCTCGATGGGAATATTTCCACTCCGTTAAGGTCATTGCCCTGATTCTTGAGGTCTTTTTCTTTGCCAACTTTTTCTCCGCCAACTTTTTCGCCCTTGATTTGAGAGTGAGAAAAGGACCCCCCATACTCTGATAATATCCGTTCCCATGGTTTACTCTAACAGCTCGGACATACTTCATCATGTGTTATCATTACTTATCAACGATACCTAGGAATGTGTATTGATAAGCTTGTATTTGGTTTTTATCTTTTCTTTTTTTGTAGCCTAGTTTTTTCTGTGTTGGTGTTTACCTGTGTGTTCTACTTTTTCCAAAGTTCAGACTAAGTTCAGGAATGTGTACCTGTCTGGTATATCTCTGTTTTAAAGCAAACTGTGTGTTCTTATTCCTCCATGGTTTATGTAGGAAACATTTTAGCTAATTTGTAAAGCTTATTTATGAGAAAAGCTGCTCTTGTTTAAGGAAACAGTTTAAAATTCATTGATCCATTTAAATTTTTTTTTACATTTTTGGTGGAGACAATTATAGTGCCTTCATACTGTGGTAATGATATGGATAATTTATAGTGATTTTTTCCCCTTTCTTTCTGTTTTTCTTGCAGTTATGGAAAAATAATTTCAACCAAGGCAATAATGGACAAACAAACGAACAAATGTAAAGGTGAGTTCCTTGTTTTTTTCATGGGGGGGGGGGGGGTTAGGGTAGATTTCTCAAATAAAATGCCTAGGAATAGAGAACTGACATTTTCTACATATTCTCTTAGCTTCCTACTTTGTGTTTAGTTCAAATGACAAATTTCTAAAAACAGTGAATTCCTCAGTATCGGGGAAAGGAACATCTGCAATGATAAAAGTATTTGTCCATAGCCTGAACATATTTCCTCCATAATGTTATGAAAACAAGGGTGTTCCAAAACACAGGTGTTACTGTTTGCCTCATGAATATGCAACCAACTTTTTTTGTTTTCACCAAGTCGCTCTCGCCGGAAGTCCCGATATTTTGCAATGCAAACTGCATAACGAATCCATTAAAAGTACAGATACATGTACTTGTGTTTTTTGTTGTTGTTGTTGATGTTTAGTATTTTCAATTAAATAATTGAGACATCTGACCCAATTTTAGTTGTTTTTCGAGCCAAAAAATACAGATGTTCTCTTGGATGTGACCCTTCCTTTCCAAAAGTGTAATTTGGATCTTTTTTCAGTTTGAGGGTGGGATGGGGGTGGGGGTGATGTGAGCATCAACATACCATAGGGAATTTTGTATAATCTGATCAAAGGCAATGGATAGTTTCTTTTTTTTAAAGTTATTCCTGGGGAAGGGGACACCAGAAGAAGGAAAGCAGGGGAAGTAATAAGGGTGTTGTGCCCCCCCCCCTCCCCACTGCTGCATCCAAGCAATGTGTCTTTTCTCTTCATTCTTTCTCTCCCTCTAGGTTACGGTTTTGTAGATTTCGACTCAGCCGGGGCTGCCCAGAAGGCCGTAGTGGCACTACAGAGTCAAGGCGTACTTGCACAAATGGCCAAGGTACAAGTATGTTAAAACTGTTTTATTTTTCATTTTATCTAAACCCAGTAAGGAGAAGAAAAATGTAGTTACTCAAACCAATACCTGCTCTGATTTCAGCACTCATAAACAAGGAAAATTGACTGTCAATCTCCATTTTTTCCCCAATTATTTTTGAAAGCTAGTTCTTTGGTCCATTAACCCAAACGTACCTGAATCCATCAAAATCCACACTCCTGTTTTGGAGGATTTCGGCAGATTCAGGATACCTCCATATTGAGCAGTTGGGGGACTTTGATGGATTCAGGATCTCAACAGTTTAGCTCCTTAGCTATATGTTTGGTGTGTTCGGTATGTACTACACTTGTGGATTCTGATGGACTCAGGACACCAACATTTGTTTGCATGACAAAATGGGTGGATTTTGTCGGATTCAGGATACTTTCTAGTAAAAGTGCTCAAGGGGTTAGGGTAAAAAAGAGTTAATTTAATTAGTCAATACTCTGACATTTGCATTTCTACTCCTTAGGTGAAACAAACTGAAGTATATCGGTTGCAAGTGCAAAGAAAACCAACCCAATTTTATGTCAGAAAAGTGTGAATAGATTTCTTATTTTGGAACATTTTATGTTGTCCTACAAATTTCCTTTTTGCCCCCTCTTTTATTCAACTGGTAGCGAAAAGGAAAACGTCAGTGTAGTCAAATCTGTGCTTTTTCTCAAAGTTCCAGTTTTATACTCATGAAAAGATTGTTTTTGACTAAAACTCTGCATGTTTACATTCGTTCTCTCCAGACCTGGAATGTCCCCCCTTTATATTCGACCACAAAAGTTGAGGTTTCCATTTATTTTGGCATCATCGACTGTGAAGTTCTTTAGAAGTTTTGCGACCCAATGTCAAATTCTCATGTCAAATAACACAATAGGAGCAGAGTGAGTCTGTCACTTGACAGATGAAAGCTTGCCGACTTGCTGTCACATTGCTTTGCAGATTTTTTTTTTCAATATAACATTCCTTTCTACAGGAATAATTTTTTTTCGTTGTTGAAATCTTGCCCAAAAAAGGGGCAGAATGAGTTTTGAACTCTTGTATGCCAAAGCCAAATAAATCTCTTAGCCCCATATTTTAATATTTGAAGAGTTGAGTGCCAAAAACGTGATATCCATTTCAAAAAAAGTGAAAAATGTGAACGGTAATGAAACTTTAAAAAATAAAACAGTTAAACAGCTGTTTCTAAACTTCATTTTTTGCTTTTGTATTCTTAAGTTGTGTTTAGGTATATAACACCTGTCAACATTTACTGTGGGCAGCCATGAGAAAGCAGAATTCAAAAAGGGAAAAAAATGGCATATATATCACGTTTTGGAAATAAATGCTTCATTTGATCTCCATAAATGCTCTTTGAAGAGAAGAAGAGAAAAAAAAACCAGAATCTGAAACAATTCATAATATTTTTGCAAACATGGAATTCTTGATTAAACATTAGAAATAAATCTTGTTACTTGCTGGATATTATTTTATAGAAAACTGTGTCATGAAAAAAGAAGAAGAAGAAAGTCGCAAACAAAAACAGTTATTTTAGAAACTATGCACAAACTTTCATCTACTTTATGTGATTTCTTTTATTCCTTTGACATCCTTTTTGAAAGAAGGCATGCTTTCAGCTTTTGAAAAACCACATCAAGCTACCTGATATCTTTTGTATAACAGGTTTTTTTTCTCCAGAGGGAAGTGGTTTTGAGGTTTCCCCGCTCCTCTGGTGCTGCTATATATATAAAAGATATCCCTAAACATTTGTGAAGATAACATTCATGCTTGGGGGGAAGTATGCCATACATTATCTCGTTGTCCACATTCTCAGACGATGTTTTCACATGGCTTCCCTTCCAAAACGTAAACTAAAATGTAAAACAATACTAAAAAAATACCACAAAATACAAAATAAAGAATCCCTTTTCAGACTATGTATTATCAATACTCCAAAGTGTTGTTGCATTCCAACTGCCCATTAAATTCCAACGAGGTTAAACACATCAGTTGCAAGTTCAGGGAGACAAATTAAACCCAGTTTAAGAGTCAGAAAAGCGTGAATGGGTTTTTTTTTTTGAGGGGATGCGGTCAATTTACTTTATTCTCTCTCGATTGTTTGTTACTTTGCCCTCAAATAAATTCCACACAACTGCGATTACAGTGAGTGGAATTGTATGTTTTGGAGTTGAATTGAATTATATACAAAAAGGGGTTTGTTTATAATGCCACAATAGAGTCATCTCCATTAGTGGGCAGAAGAACGAGGGTTCATAGTTCTGCTTCTTAAGGCCTGAAAGAAACCGTTTTTAACCGTCGTGCAGAAAACACTGAACTTGATTGTCAGTACTATTACGTCAGTGATGAACAATCGCAGTGTCTCTTTGATACTTTGAACTATTGGTTCCATGATAATCAAGAAGTGTTAAACACAGTGGATGTAGTCTGCTAGTTTTTAATAGTTCACTGCCTATTTCCACTTTTGTAGATATTTTACTCAAGGGGATATATTTATTGACCTTAAGATTCTTTCAGTTTACATGTTCTCTTGGCTTTTAGGACTTTGGCTTTTAAGATTTTGAAAAAATTAATAAATTGGGGGTTCTGACTTTAAAAACGGGGAAAAAACACAAAATTAATTTGTGCTTATTGTGCAAGCTCTATTTTACTGCAAAAGAAAACTTGCAAGATGGTGTTATGTGTAGGGTTAAGAAAGGTCAATCGGCTTGGGAAAAAAGACAACAGCAAAATGAACTTTATATTCAGTAAGCAAAGACAATCCTGCCATTACCATGTGACTCTGGGGGATAGTGTTTCTGCTGGATCGGATTCATTTCCTCATTGAGTTGGACGGACGCCCGTTGGAATTAAAGTCAATTGTCTGGAGAGGCGGGGAGGGATGTTTTGTGTTTCAAATGAGAAAACAAGAGCATGATTGACAAGCCTGGCTCGCCAAGGCGGTGCATTCTGAACTGGGCATTGGTCGCCAATTGGGCAGATTCCATACCCTTTGTATTTGACGACTGGAACTTTTACTTGTTTTTTATTTAGTCCTCATCTTCCTAAAAACTTACCAGGGACCTCCTGTTGAAATAATTTGGCCCAAGATTTTAGCTCATAATTCAAAACGTCCTTTCCTGGTCAAACCCAGTTGGGTGTCAAAAGAAAGCTCTTTTTTTGACAGTCAGCCAAGTTCTCTTAAAGTGCATGGCAATATGACTGGTAACCGCTAAGCCAAGGAACCCACTAAACACCATTCCTTGTTCCTCATTTCATAATAGAGTAAAGCCTCCCCGAGTGAATGGTCTTGTCAAATAAACGGAAATATTTCCCAGCTTTTTATCCTTGCGGTCTGCATCTCTCTGACCACAATACACTCTGACAAGTTGCCTTGAGGAATCGCTTTGATATTGTCGGCCGATCTCTCATATCCTGGTGAGTTTTTTTGTAATTCCAGGGCCGTCACGAGGAGGGGTTGTCCCAACTTAAACCCAAGGAGGAAATAAAAGAATTTCACTGTAAAGAAAACGTGCCAGTCGGTATCAAAGGATCAAGGGGGGAATTGGTATGGCGACATACGTTAGACTTTCCAACTTATTACCGTTTGAGGAAAATAATCTTTAATCCAGTGTAATAACAGATTATCCCGTTCGTTTCACTTCTGTCGTCTGTGAAAAATGTCTACTTACCCAGCAGCCTTCAGAAATAATTTCAGTGGCCAACATAATTTTCATACGATAAAAATACTCCAATGAAAGTAAGGTGGAGTACGTGACCCTAGGCATAAAAACACTCCCTGATATCTTCATTAGAACTTTTATTATTCACTTCTTTCTCGGAGCAAAACACTTCTAGGATTGAACATTTGAAAGTAATGGCTTGAAGCTAAACACCAAATTATTGATATTTTCCAATTCACTCTCGTCTGTAGCAGATTCTTGTTAAATTGTACAAACTACCCATGGAGCCACTGGTCATGGTTAATCATTAGTTAATTATCATTTGCATATCTGTCGTGGTTGGTTATGTACTATGCATAGAATCTGATATGGGCCCGCAGCTGTGTTTTCCTACTTGACGGATTTCGAGTATCGTGTATTGGCGTGCAGGTAACCGATATCTTCCAACCCTGGTGCCAAGGAAGAAGGCATTTGGTTTTCAAATCTGTCACGCTTTGTTTGTTAAATAGCGCCCTCAAACCGCACGCATAGAGGGAATATAATAATTGTTGGGGTTATGCCATGGTGAAGCAACTCAGCCCGGTCAGCCATTGCCCTAATCCTTGCTCAGTGCAGTGGAAAAATAAAAATAACATGCTTTGGTCTTTCATTCTATAAGATGTAGTTTGCCAACTTCATACTTTTCTTAAAAAAAAAAACAACCACTGCTTGACTCCATCAGGCAGATAGTAGCCTCATCAGGCAGCCTCACACTGTCATGTGACATAATGACCATCACATGGTCAGATGACAGTCACATGACCTAACTATCATTACGACTTGTTCGTGAATAACGCAGTTGTGTACCTATAAACATAACATTACCGATGTTGCATGGTTAATAAATAAATTACCCATTGCTCAATTTCGAGACGCATCTTGACCATGAAGAAGCATTTTCTTTGGAGTGAGATGGTCATGAATACCCAGCCTCTAGAAACAGAATTCTCCTGAAGTTACTCTTGAAAAAAGGAAAGGAATCTTTTGAATTTCCCTGAATCGGATGACTCATGTCTTCATGGGTGCATGTCCTGCCCTTTTAGGTGCGACATTGATATTGGTCAAATGGGATTACAATGAATAACAGTGTGGTTTCCATACCAATTCCTTCAAATATACAATTCTAGGGTGTGTTGCGGCGCCACTTTGGAGAAGGAATACAAGAAACCAGAAAAAGGAAAGAAAAAACTAGGGTAATCAAATCAAAACCAAGACGAATTCACAAAGCATGAGTCACTAATTTCTGGGAATGTTTGGGAGGGTATTTGTCTTATTTCAAGT